CCCAAACACAGGCTGTCAAGACAGGCAGACAATGAAAACATGAATAATTATGCTGATATATGTAACAAGTACTGTAGGAATTGTACTTTCACAAGTACCAGTGGTGAGAGGAGCAGGAGGGGTATGATCAAACTGAGTCTGACAGGTCTGTTTTTAAACAGAGCCCAGCTCTGCTAAGTATAACTTCTCTGTGCCTCAGTTTCTTTATCTATAAAATGGAGATAATAACAGAATCTTATACAAGAGGTTGTAGGGATTAAAAGAGCCAATCAGATAAACAAAATGTGGTATATCCATATAATGGAATATTACTTAGCCATAAATAGAAACAATCTATTCAATCAATATGCTGAGCAAATAATCCGAGAAGCTGGACTATATGAAGAAAAACGTGGTATCAGGCTTGGAGGAAGAATCATTAACAATCTGAGATATGCAGACGATACAACTTTGCTTGCTGAAAGTGAGCATGACTTAAGGCACCTATTGATGAAGTTTGAAGAATACAGTCTGCAGTATGGATTACGTCTCAATATAAAAAAAAACAAAAATCCTCACAACTGGACCAAGGAGCAGCATCACAATAAATGGAGAGAAGATTGAGGTTGTCAAGGAATTCACGTTGCTTGGTTCTACAATCGATGCCAATGGAAGCAGCAGGCAGGACATTAGATGACGTGTAGCATTGGGAAAGTCAACTGCGAAGGAACTATTTCAAGTGCTGAGGAGCAAGGATATCTCCTTGAGGACTAAGGTGCACCTGACACAAACCATGATATTTCCAATTGCCTTGTATGCATGTGAGAGCAGGACAATGAATAAGGAAGACCGAAGAAGAGTTGATGCTTTTGAGTTGTGGTGCTGGCGGAGAATGCTGAAAGTACCATGGACTGCTAAAAGAACTAACAGATCTGTCCTGGAGGAAGTGCAGCCAGAATGCTCCTTGGAAGCAAGCATGGCCAGGCTTCGTCTCACCTATTTTGGTCATGTTGTAAGAAGGGACCATTCCCTGGAGAAGGATGTCATGCTTGGTAAGGTGGAGGGTCAACGAAAGAGGGGGAGGCCTTCAATGAAATGGATTGATACGGTGGCTGCGATGATGGGCTCGAGTATAGCAGGGATTGTGGGGCTGGCACGGGATCGGGCAGTGTTTTGTTCTGCTGTGCATGGGGTTGCTATGAGTTGGAAACGACTCGATGGCACTTAACAACAACAACAAATAGAAACAAAGTCCTGATACATGCTGCAACATGGATGAACCTTGAAAACACTATGCTAAATGAAGTAAGTCAGAAATAAAAGACAAATATTGTATGATCCCACTCCTATGAAGTATTTAGAATAGTCAAATGTGAAAGGACAAAAGTTTATTAGTGGTACCAGGAGCTGGGGGAGGAGGGAATGGTGGTTTATGGTTTAATGGGTGCTGAATTATGAAAAACGTCTGGAAATAGATAGTGGTGATGGTTACACGTGGTGAATATAATTAACGTCACTGAGGTGTGTACTTAAAAATGGTTAAAATGGCAACTGTTATATATATTTTGCCACAATGATATATAAAGAAAGCTATTATGCATAAAATACCTGGCACACATTATCATCTCCATAAATGTTAACTAGTATGACCAACCATATTTCAGTGAAATACAGTTCCTGTTCCAGACATGCCAGCAAGGGAGGCCTTAACCAGGTGGGATTTCTGGGGCCGACCTCAGGGCCTGGTACTGCCAAGATTAAACACAGCAACTTCTTTCACATAGAGTATATCATCTACTCCCTTGCAAATTCTTTTTCCCTAACCCCTTGCCACGTGCTTTCCTACATGGCTTCACTCAGCTGCAGCTGTCTGAGTGTAACGTCAGATGACATCAGCTTTCCAGGTGCATTCTGGGGTAGCACACAATCCTGCTAACTGACCCAGCTGGTAGCCATGGCAAGCAAGTTCAGATCAAACCTCTCCCTCACCTCCATCCCACTCCAGCCCATCAGGCTGGAGAACTGCCAACATCTTCCTCTATATCAGGCCTTGGGGACAGCAGTGCAAGCCACCCATCTGCAGGTTTTAAACTCCCAACATAAAGTGGGTTCCATTGAGTGCCTGCTATGGACCAGCTGCTGTTCTAAGTAATTTCATACATATTCACTCCTTTAAACCTTAGATATCTCATGAGTTGGAATGTAATTATCTCCATTTTACAGGCAAGTAAACTGAGACTCAGAGAGGTTAAGTGACTGGCCACACTCAGGTTTTCTCATTCCAAGCCCTCTGTTCATTTCATTACACCATAGTTGGTCTCCCAACCTGCATTGATTAAACATTGCAACAACTTCCACTCACTGTAGGTTTTTTCCTGGCAGACTTAATAGGAAAGATAAGAGAAAGATTTTCTTTGTCACCTGGAATTTAGGGGCTTTTTAAGTGATGATTTGGGATATTCCCTTTGTGTGGTTTGAATGCAGTCCAACATTGGTATTAATACCCATTTTCAGAAACACGTTGATAGGATCAGGGTTTATACTCCTCTGTGCTGAGCTTATCGAGGTAGGATGAGACCTTGAGAAATTTAATTTGTTATACGTATACACTTTTGTTTCCAATATGACCAAAGTGGCTTCTATGTATCCAAGAAAGATAAATTCTTAAACTCACTGCCATCCTGTTGATTCCAACTCATAGTGACCTGTAGGACAGAACAGAACTGCCCCATAGGGTTTCCAAGGCTATAAATCTTTATGGAAGCAGACTGCCACATCTAGGGGTCCTTTAATTCTTTCTGCTAAGGGATCTGTGTTCGGGCATTCAAGAGAATGGATCTTGAATTGCTTGATGCATTTTGCTCCATTTAAGGAAATAGAAACCTTTTCTTACTGCTTTCTGCTAGAAGCTGGTATTTCAGTTCCTTCACACTGCTGTTGTCGACCTGACTCATGGCGACCCCTCCTTAGGTTTCTGAGGCGGTATCACTACGGAAGTAGATTGCCCAACCTTCCTTCCATTCAGTTTCTTAGGTCCTGAAATTATTAAAGAAAGCCTCCACGTGTTGTTGATGACGCCTGCTGGTCTGTTTACTGGTGTTCTCTGCTCCCAGAGCCAAGACTGAGATCTGCCTTTGCAAGGCCCAAGGGTGGACAATGAGCTGATGTGCTTTCTTTAGGGGTGTCCAGGAAGGAGTAACAGCATCCATTTGAGGAAATTAGACACTGTTGACAACAGTCAGCTACCACAATGGGCTCAGGTATCACAAGGATTGTGAGGCTGGCACAGGACTGAGCAGTGTCTCATTCTGTTGTACACAGGGTTGTTATGAGTCAGAGCTGACTTGATGGCACCTAACGATGACAACAACTTTCTCAAGCTTTGGTAACCTTCCTGTTTTTAAACAAGGAAATTACGTTAATGTATAATATATAGAAGCTCCCCCATGACCAAGTGTATCCACTGACAGCCCAGTAATGTAGCTATCTTCTTGTTAGCAGGAAGCATTGTTGTTGTTGTTATGTGCCGTCGAGTCAGACCTGACTCATAGCGACCCCTCCTTGGGTTGCTGAGGCAGTATCACTATGGAAGTAGATTGCCCAACCTTCCTTCCAAGGAGTGGCTGGTGGGTTTGAACCGCCAGCCTTCTGGTTAGCAGTCAAGTGCCT